CTTTATAACACACGCTATAAATCACAGTGATTCACACACTTTACTTACGGTGCCTACTGTTCACTTGACTCAGTTATCTCTATCTTCAATCTATCTATCGCTGGCTTTATTTGACGGCTTATATCTAAAAAAGAGGGCGCGTGTTCGCGAGGTTCCTCGATAAGTCATGATCCTTCTAGAAACTCCAGCGCCATTGCTCCCAGCGTCGCGTGACTTCCGCTGTCGTAACATTACTTTATAGCCTAGTCTTTGAGATGCTTGACGTAATGAATTACCATTGTGTTTTTTTATCTCGTAAAGCGTATGACTTGCATGACTTGTGCAAAACCTTTCAGAAACTAACAAAATAGCGTCTGAAGTGGAAAACAATCCGGTGAAGTTTCCAAAAGACGCTACTATTGTGTGAAATTAGGGATAGAAAAGAACAAAAATACAAAGTAATATTACTAGTGTGTGACATTTGCGAAGCAACAGGAAAGAAAATCCAAATAAGTTGATTTAAATCATAATGTGTCAGATTTTTAATTGTAAAATACTGTGAGCGTCAGTGTGAGTGTGAACAAGTTTAATGTCTTTCTGTATCTGTTAACACTTTTTAATACCGTTACGCTGGTCCAATTAAAACAATGACGAACAATCTTAATTTAAGTTGTAACAAACATTTCACTTTCCCAAGCAATACCGGGCTCAAGCCTAACTACACAATCGTTTTTCTGAAACCTGACTCTCGATTGACTCACTGAAGACACTATAAAATTCCCAAAAATTTCACTTATCGTGTTATATATCTAATTCTTGATAAAAAAAAAGTGATTATAAAAAATTTCAACAAATGACGCTAATGCAGACCGACACTGTCAAACTGAACGTATACAATTTCATTCAGACTTTTACCAAACAACATTAATGCATACAGCGCTTTTCCTCACTAAAATAATTTACAAGACAGATACTTGGAAAACAAAATATTTCAACAAACAATAATACAATTAATATACAAGTAAAAACTAAACATTATTTTAATTGTTCATAACAGCATAAACTCCCATCTTCAGTACTAAGGAAACACGTTTTCCTAGGTGCCAGTCATTGAAATTCAATGGAATATTTTAGTTTGGAAGATGTCCATTATCTTGTAAACTAACGTTTTCAATGATTTTAATATAAGGCCTAGTGGTTAAGGTGCCCAACTCTGGCGATGGGTAATGGTGACTAGTTGTCTTACCTACAGTCTACCACTTCTAAATCAGAGACGGTTAGCGCAGATAGTTCGAGTAGCATTCGTGAAATTCACAAGCAAACAAGACTTTACCTACGCTTGATTTAAAGTTTAAACCTCTTTCAAGATCTGTCACAGATCATATTGCTATAAAAACGTTCTTGAGAAATGTTTTTCCCGATGAACGTTCTAATCCGCGCAAAGCGCTTGTACAATTTGTTCAACCGTAGACCACACAATTCAGCATTTTGCTAGAATAAACATCGCGCAGTGAGATTAGTCGATATAAGCTCATTCGAAAAATTAAATAATACTAATCAGTGTGAGAAGTTTTATGGCATCATGGTTGGTTAATCTGAAATGCTTTGTTGGCATTTTCAAAATGGGTGTTAGACAAAAGAAACAGTTTTCAGAAGAACTGGAATTCGCACAAATTGTAAGAAAATGCAATAAAGTTAAATCATCATAAAAACTATTGTTGAAATAGGAACACATTTAGCTAACAATTTTGGCTTCCAGTGGCACAACACTTTGTCTGCGGAGTTACAACGCTAGAAATCGGATTTCAATACCTGTGGTGGGCAAAGAACAGATAGCCCATTGTGTAGCTTTGCGCTTAACTTCAAACAAACTAGCAATTTTGAGCAACCACCCTTTCTCAGACTTAATATGAAAATGAAGTTAAGTCTGTCGAGCAGCAATGTTTGAAATTGCTAGATAAACTAAATTTGTATTCGTTGGTAAGAGAGTAGCCCAAGAGTTGGCGGTGGGTGGTTATGACTAGCTGCCTTCT